TGATAACTGACAACAAGACAACTGACCACCTGGCAATTGATGACATAACTTAATAACCTTATAACCGAAACCCAATGATCTGACATCCAACAAATTGATAACCAATACCATGATACCTTACAATCTGACAACCGACAGCAAGACAGCTGACGACCTGGTAATTTATAATCTGACAGTCGGCAACCTGACAACCAACAATCTGAAGACTGACATGAGAATTGTTGATCTTCACTGGCTTGATATTAGTGTAAATTAATTTTTCATTTGTCATCATGAACTATCTGACAGGAACCATTTGACAGGGACCACCGTACAGGAACCACCTGATTACAACCAGTCAGCAGCCCGAACGTAGCTACCAACAACTCAATAACCAACAACCGAGTCAATGATAGCTTATAACCTGAAAGGCTGAAAACTGAGAACTGAAAACTGATAATCTGACAACTGACAACCCGACATCTAACATCGACAACGGACAAGCTAATGAAGGACGTCTGAATATCCAACATTCAACAACCTGAAAACTAATAATATGAAAATAAAACGACCACATGACCACTAGAATTCTGACAACTGATAGTTTTCACAACTTAGTTACATTACGTTGCTTCTGAAAACTAATTCTCTGACAACCGATAACCTGATAACTTTCAACCTGATATGGACAACCTGATAAAAGACGACTAACAAACTGAGAAGTAAAAGCCTGCAGCCTGACAATTTTACGATCTAGTAACGACGAGCAGCAACCTTCTACCGTGTCTACTTGGAAACCAATAACCTGACAAGCGATGACAGACAATCACTAACCTGACAACCGACGACAAATAACTTTAAAACTGACAACCTGGCATCTTCACAAATGATATGTTAACATTCGATAATCAATAACCGGGAACGTATAGCTTACTACCTGACAAGCACAATCTGACAACTGTGAATAGACAACCAGGTAACGGATAACGTACTACCCGAAAACCAACAACCTGATGACAAACAGAAAACCTGAAAAGGGACAACCAATAATTTTCACAATCGATAACCCAAACTGACAACGAACCGAACAACCTGCTACCTGAAAATCTACTCTCTGACAACTGACAACTGACAAACTTACAACTGTCAACCTGACATGGTTGGTCATCCTGATAACCGACAACCTGATATTGAGAACTGATTACCTAGCATCTACACAACGGACAACGTCTAAATCAATAAAAGATAACCAAAAAATAACTACCTGAAATGTGACAAATTTGTTAGTTTTTACCTTACTGCTAATAAAGAAAGCATGTGTATGCTTGTAAGTAAGCAACCAAGGGGCCGACGGTAGTGAGGATTAATGCCTTACTTAAGGACACTAGCGAGTCGACTTGGTTTCGAACCCAGGACCTCCCGGTTACGACACCACTGCTCTACCGTCGAGCCATCGCGCATCCCTTTAACACTTAGAATGACAACCTGCCGTCGTGAAAACTGACAATTTTACAATAATACCTGACTACCACTAATTTGACAACCGACAATGTGACAACCAACGACCTGATATCACACAACCTGACACCCGAAAACGGAAAGATTGACGACCTGCGACATGACAATCTACACAACTTATAACAGTCAACCTGACATTCGTTACAAGAATGACTGATCTTGACTGACTGAATGTTAATACATTCAGGTGATTCATCATGAAATATGACGGTTTATTATTCTGTAATAATGAGATATGACGGTTTAATCTGTAAAGGCAATGAATTAATATTTCAGTCCACAATGATATAATGACAAGCTTTTAAAGTATTTCAAAAGCAACTTTTTTCTCTAAAGTGTAAGACTTCATTTCCATTTCAGAAAAAATTTCAAAAATATGTTCGACTGTAATCCTGCTGATCAAGAGACCGACTTCGGGCCAAGAATGACGGCCAATGAGACCGACAATAACGACCTCACGGGAGCAAGACCGACAACCCACGAGAAGGACATTTACAAGACCGACATGACACGGATCTTCAGGCATCTTCTCTGATGTCAGCTAATAAGAAGACCATTTGGCACATTATTCTTAATTTTGCTAATGAATAACTGCAAAAAAAGACATAAAAAAGTAAGAATGTAAGCCTATACGAGGAAATTTGATACATGACTATATTCCATTTTGAACACAATATCAAGGACAAAGATATTGGTAACAGAAGATTGATATGATTTTTAACATGACTGCTTGATGTTTCTAAAAGATAAACTGCGTGGCGAAAAAGGTTAGAGCATTGCAATGGTGCGCGTTACAGAGGATGTTTTAAGTGTTATTATGATGTGGACCAAATATTGTGAGCGAGATTATCTGACTGTTTATTATTTGCAATGAAAATGGGAACGTCAGTAATAAAGTAACGTGATATCTAAATATCATGTATTTTTCTTCATTAGTTTCATGGCGTTATTTGGCGTGGTGATGTTGCATGTGATTTTTTAAAACAACAACAAATATATCCACTAATCGAATTTTTCGTTAATTCCTTTACTAAGAAATACACAATGGTTGTATGATTACATTTAAACTGATTTAGTCATTGTATTGGTCGATTGAATGAGTGATTAGTGAATTTATTTATTTATTTTCAGATTGACTGATTGATTGACTGATTATGTATTAACTGGCTGATTGGTTGATTGAAGTATTGGTAGGTTGATTGTGTTTCTAAGGGATTGAGTGCTGTTGATGGATTGATTGGTCGATGAAACCATTGCCCTTATGTAATTGGACGTGGATCAATAATATTGAATGAATAATAATGAATAAATTAATGGATGAATAAATGAATGAATGAATGAATAAAATGTCGATTCTTATGGATAGATGGATGAATACAGGATCAGATTGACAATTAATTTCAACTGTTATTTTACATGTGATTGTATAGGGCTGCAATGATTTATAGCGACACAGCTTTGATTATAGTCTTTTACTCTAAAACTAAAACTAAATTTTAAATGGCCGATGACATATTCAAAATGGTAGATTTACACTTTTAACATGCTGGATTGATATCATGGTTGAATTCAGCAAAGTGAGATTATAGTGGAAATGTCACTCCTCGGTCCTTTTCGTTGATCTTACAAAGCGACTGTGCTTGTTCTTCATTAATACTGTAAAAATGAAATAAATCAATTAATAGCAAAGTGAGAGCGTGAACTTAGACATTTGAGAGGAAAGTTCAGACAAAAGTAGGCCTAAATAAAAACACCACCTGTTGCTCGCTTAGTGAATGAAACTGGCGTCTCTTTTGTTTGGATCGATCGATATCAGCGACAGATGAAAACAAAAATTATATTATTGTACGTTCAGAGCGGTCTATTAATGGTATATCTACTTACCATTTCCTGCTGCCTGTTCTTTGATTAAGCATTTTATTGTGTTTATCTCGGTCTAACTCTCGCTACATATGAAATTCGTTTCTATTAATTTTTAAAAGGTGACGTCTGTCTTTAAAAATACGATCGATGTAATATTTTACACGTGTGAAACAAAAAATACTGACGGTTTATTTCATTGCCGATTCCATTCATTTGAATGTGATTCGCCCGACTTGCTTTGATGGAGTTTTGCTGTCGATGTTTGTTTGTGCTTTAAACAGGATGATATAAGAACGTGTACCTCATCATAACGATTGTATTTCCTATCGTCGGTCGTTAGAGTGAATATGATTTCATTCGAATTGCTCTGATCGACAAAGACTCATCACGATTTCTCAGAAATGCATGACTATATGGATTGACTACTGTTTGATCCTTACTTTGATTTAGTCTATGAAGGAGTTCCAATACCATGCAAACCCCAATCCATTTTGAAATTGCGTAGGTTGAACAAGACAAAGAAAATGCCTGACTTTCACTTGATATTTCTGTTGGAATTTCGACTATTCACGATAGGAAGCTTTAATTTATTCACTCCAGTGATCTGAAGCATTTATCTTTTCTCTACGCGATATTATGAATGTTGACTCCATCTATCATAACACCGGGAGATGGCAGACCCGTAAGGAGGGGTATTCATGAATATCATGACTTTACTATCAAGGACCATACTACTAGTTATATTTAGCTTCTATTTCATCACGACCTCACCCACCATGGTACGAGCATGCTGTAGATCATGTACCCCTTGCTCTCGGCTCGATAGCTGCCCGTCGTGTCGTCCTGCCGACCATACCTTACCTGGACTTACAACAGAACAGAGGGATCGTAGTGCCAGTTCATCGGTCCAGCATATTATCAATAGGTATATCATACTATATCAATTTTTCGTTATTACTATATTGTTTTCTTCTAATGGAAGCCTGCAATTCAAATTATATTTATTTTTCTTAAAGCCCCCTCTGCACTAGTTTGGCATGGAGGGATGAGTCCTCCCTGCAAGGTCACTGGCAGGTGGTTATCTCATCAAATCAGCTCTCAACATAAGAAAAAGGGCATCATGGGGGATCAACGGGTACCGCTTAGGCATTGTTGGCTGTATGGAGGGCGCAAGTAGCTATAAGTGCAGACGGGCTTTAAATGAAACATGACATCATCTTCATGCATATCATTAATACTCGGGGGCCAGAACATTATTGAAAACTCCAACTTACATCAAGGGCAATATTTAAAATAAATAGCATATTTATATTTTATGAGTTTGGTAAATTTGTCCAACATGTTTAAAGTCTATACTGATTTAATGTTGCATTCAAACGCATTAATATTGGTTCATCATCTTTATTTCACTTATAATTTGAGGTACATTAAAAACGTACATTTTAAAGGTGAAATAAGAGAGGAAAGGAAAGGAAAGCCGTACAAATATCTAGCACTTGGTCTAATTATCTGCTTAGTTCGGCTTCAGACCGCTCTGTGAAACCCGGCAACGAATTTATGTTTTAGAAGAATACAGACCCAAGAGGTAAAAATTTTCCTCCCCCCCCCCCCCCTTTTTTTCTTTCTTTCCTAGAATTAAAAGTAATCCTCAGCTCCTGACGCAAATGAAGCACCAAAAACAGCTATTTCATTTAACCACCGAACAGACGCGAGTATTCGCCGACCGTTTCCGGAACTTGTTTCGCAAGCATCGTGATCTTTCAAATATTTCAGGTAGCGCGATGTCAGCTGCCTTTCTCAATCTGACGACCAATGCCGAATACTGCCGAGGACGAATCATGTACTCGGCTCCACTACTCGGCCTTGATCGTAATTCCGATGTCATTCAGATATTTCAGGTAAGTAAAGTTAAGTTGAAGTCAAGTCAAGTTCAAGTTCAAATTGATTGATCATGCACAAATTCATGGATATACAAATCTTTTTCCGGCTGTTTTTTTCAATCAATTCAATTTATTTATAACGTGCAATAATGCACAAAATTAATGATGCAAAGTTAAGATTACACGGAATATTTCCGTGTGACTACATGTACATGAAATATAATCAGGATAATGAAAGAGGGGTAAATTCAACTGATAAAATGAAAATTACACACCTAATGCACACCGCAAGCAACACACACCACCACAATCTACAAGAGCAACCATTTATAATAATAACAGATAGTATATTTTAATCTTAAACTTCAAAAGTGGCCCGATTATTGCAAAATTTAAATTATTCTAAATCTTACGAAATAAAGGTAATACAAAGTTTTGGGAAATTTTGAAAATTGGGTGGATAGTGATTCTTTACAATATTGATATATTGGATGCCCCTGTGGATGCATTAAAGTACTAGAAAACTTGGCCCCTAAAACACTTCTGTTTTCGAGTAAAACTCAATACAAACATTTACCGGTGCTCCCGGTAAATTTTCATAAATTTTAAATAGCGCCTACGGCCGTACATTGATAGCTGCGACCATGAAATTCTCAGAATATGTAGTTGTGATATATAATTTCCTTACGGGAATAGCTAATTGGTCGATTTTAGTCAAGACACATTGTATTACAGCTTAATTAATATCTTGACCTTGAGAGGGAGCTATATAACATAAAGAGTTTATTATTTACAGTTTCATAACTGTAGACTCGATTTCAAGCGCGAAAACGATATTGTAGGATCGCATATGCTTCAAATAATCATTTGAACCAAATTCATGACCCGATACCAAAAATTTGTATTACCTACTGTCCTACTTGTAGCTATTTGCTCCCTCTATATAGAAAACTTCCCCAATCGGTGCCTGTTTATCCCCCATGATCCTCTATTTCTTATGTTATATGAGAGCTGAGTTGATGACATAGCCACCTGTCACTGACCTCGCTGTGTGGTCTAATCCCTCATAGCCACACTAGTGTTGATAAGCTTTAAGAAGAGGATTAAAAATAACACATCCAATCCATGACATGTAGAGATTAAGGACATATAACTTCTGGATCGGTTGAATTGATTTCCCCAAATTCTGTTCTCATAATAATATATCCATTCAATATTGTTTAAATATTGCCTTCAGAGGTTTAGATGGCAATACTTCAACCTTAATTCGCAAAAAAGCAGAAATAATTGTATGCATTCGCGATATCTTTCCAGGCCGGATCGATATGATAATTTGCCAAATATATCAATTAGTAGGCGGTTTCCCGGCAAAATTTGTATCATCACGTATTAGTTGAAACATATTCTTTCACATGATTTGTACTGAGAACTTCAATTTTATTTTTTGAGAGGGGGCGTTTCCAAAACTGGTCTATACCTTTAAACACCCTTAATAGTAAATTATAACAGACATAAGTTATGTGGTTATTATTTATTAATATGTGTTCTTCTTGTATTACAATCATCAAAACCAAAGCTATATAATTCTATTTCTTTTTATATTTTCAAATCTTATTTCAGTTTACTGCAATAGACCGCATGCAGTGGATTATGGGAGAATATTGCGATGAAAGTGTTTCGGGGTCGCCAGCGTGTGAGAACACGTTATATCCCGAGTTCACACCTGTGATAGGAATCAATGTCGATCGACAATCCATCGGAATCTGGTGGATATGGACACACCGATGCCTAAGCGAATACACTTGAAATCAAAAGAATGTGTTTTTTATCGTTATCTTCGAAATCTTCTTCAGATCAAATACTTGGGTCACTCGAAGAAGTATTGAGCAATCATGGTTGACTAAAGACGTACCCTACGAGATCGACGAGCAAGAGCTGAGAGACAAGTCTGAAAGGGATTGATTGATTGATTGATTGATTGATTTTGGCTGACATAAAACCATATAAATAATATGAACACACATGATAACATGGTCCCGATAATTTCGAAAGGATCGCCCCGCTCAGCTATACGTCATTACTGGACAGCTGGTCCAATGAGAGGTCCTAGTGGCCTGGATATGCTCATAATGAGCGAAGAAAACAATATCGAGTGGTAGTGAGACCCTGAGTGAGACAAATATTTTGGCATTGACATTAAACAGTATCTGAAGGCGTGGGGGTCGCTCGAGCCCCCTGAGCTCCCCCTCCCTCTACGAGCACGGAAGAGAAGATTCTACGACGGAGAACCAACCTTCTGAAATCTTCTGAAATTGAAATCAGCAGGGCGGTATTCCGCATGTCGCTAGTATGGCAGGTGGTACATGCCGCTAAAGCGTGTTTCTAAAGTTCTCAAATGACTTAACTGATGATCCGATCGACTTTTATTTTGTTTGATATATTAGAGTTATCATTGATTGTCTACAAAGTGTATATGTGTATAGTAAAGGGATATTACAAACACACCGTAGACTGGGTTAGATCTTGTTTTTAAATCGTCATCAAAGACTGACGAAATCGGTATATAGCGCCTCTTTATCCTCTAACAAAGCGCGACGGTAATAATATATCGTTAAGCCAAGAAAAGTATCCTATCAGAATTATACTCTTTGAAATAATCGCTTTATAATATCCTCAACGATGTCAACACTAACGGTACCTTGGTCAATTGTCCATTCAATTTAAGTCGCAAAGTTTCATTCTTTGATTCATGACAGTTCTTATTAACCTTATTATCAAGATCATAGAAGTAAACCCAATAAAAGCAACAATGCTCCCATATTTCCATTATACTAAAGTATTATACATTTAGAGCAAAACTTTCTTTATGTGGGTGAAGCTCTGAATGTTATTTACGCACTTGCTAAATAAAATCTAAGTCGTTGAGTAATGTAGAGACGTAATGAATCAAATAAAATCCGTTTTCTTTATACAAAAATAAGTAGTAATATTTGTTCATCTCGATATCATCTTGACGTACATTGTTTTTTCAGAGTAATAACTGTATCACAGTGGAACAACAATTTCAAACTGTGCGCTTCATTCTGTCATAACTATGAGAGGGAGGGAGAAGGGCGAGGGAGGAAGAGGGGAAAGGTGAGAGACGGAGAAATCAACAGAGAGAGAGAGAGGGGGGGGGGGGGGGAGAGGGGAGGGAAACAGAGAGAGAGAGAAAAGGGGAGAGAGAGAGAGAGAGAGAGAGGACAGAGACAAAGGGGGTGTGATGAGATGGACAACAAGAAAAGAGAGAGAGAGAAAAAAAATCGATTGTGAACTAATCGTGATTGACTAGTTTATGCCTATACGAAATCTGCCGTGTCTCGCTTGCGGCGTTAGGAGAACAAAATAAAAGAAGGGGGTTTACATGAGAAACTATACAAAGAATTGGCCGGCTGGAGGACAATCAATGAATAAAGATGAATAGAGTGCTATTAAAGGACGGTGCTTATTGACCTCGGAGTAGAAGGACGGGTGTGTATATAACGGTTGCCTGAAAGCAGTTCGACTCGAGACTGTAATCGCAGCCCATCTCGCATGGCAACGATGGACGCTTAAGCTGCGAAATTTATTTATTCGCCGAGCAGTTCGGAAAAGCTAGCCATGTATCCATTGTAAAATGATATATACTTACCTGGTCTACTTGTATCGTATGTACATAGATCGTTCTACAAGCTTCACGATGCACAAGTACGCATAGCAACGTAACTTTTCGAAGCTGGATGTTTTGTAGTGATCGTTAGTCGTCTCGTCTGCTTCTGAATATTTCGACGTTTACTGCCTTATTGGACAGGAGAAGGAACATATCAGTTTTATGAGTGATAGTTTTATTATTAAGAAATAGTTCTAGAAAGGTTATCTAGACCAATACTATGAGCAAAAAATACATCCACATCTCTATGGTTGACTTTTCGTTAGATTTGATATAACTTCCCAAGTGCGATTAGCATTAACGTCATGATTAACATCCATATACCTACCGTATGTGAAATGGACAAAATCTGAGAGTCTGTAATCCAAGAGAAGTGTTAGTGTTGTGTCGCGTCATTATGGGGTGTTTCACAAAACTTGTCATCAGTGACAAATGACAGTTTTTGTTATAAGCTACTGAAATCCTTGCTTCTGATTGGCTATTAGCAGATTTGTCACTGATTTTTTTTTTTGTAATTTGTCATTAAAAAAAGGCTGTGTGAAACGGGTCCAAGGAGTCAACATGGGTTCTAAATCATCCAAAATTTCCGCTGCTGGTCCATCGAAACCTAACACAGCAGCCAGAGATAATGTACGCAAGAAACCACTGATCGCTAAAGATGATAAACAAACCAACTACGAACCATCGACCAAGAAGAGATCCAAACAAAGCACGTCAAAGAAAAAGGGTTCCATCGTGATCGATGAGTACGGACGCCGGACATCGACGGTCACCAAAGTGGGTACGAAGACGACAAGGACGCGGAAGAAGACATTGGATCCGCTCAACTACAAGGGAGAGGAAATGAAGGAATTACGTTACAAACATGCAAAGAAGGAGAAAGGGGAGAAGACATCGAAAAAGAGAAAAGGGAATGATGATGATGACGACGACCATATCGCATTGGGTAATGATGTTCTTAGCGAAACTCCATGCTGTGACGATGATGAGGACACGATTAATCTTATACAGTATGAGAATTTCGAGTATCCATTCGAGAATATTGTCTTTGAAGGAGGAGGAAATAAAGGATTGGCCTACGCTGGTGCAGTCAGGGTAAGTCTGCCTGAACATTATTCAAATTATTCATTATTTGATAAATTATTCGATATCTCATCTTTGTTTCCGGATTGGTAAAACTCAAGGGGACACGGGGGCACGTATCTTCCTCCCCCATCGAGTGGAGAAAACATAAATAAAAGAAGGAAAAGAGAGAGAGAGAGAGAGAGAGAGAGAGAGAGAAGGGAAACGGGCAGGGGAAAACGACGAGTAAAGAAGACGTCTTGACCACCAAAAATATACTGGAAATGCTAGAGATTGCTCTTATAACAATATTCTTGCCTCTAACCCGTCTCTCATAAATTATTCCTGTGAAAGCATATAATATATAAATTTAGTTATGTCTGTCCAGCAATCAGGTATAGCTCAACAGTGTGGGTATTATCGTGATATTTAGCCGGCTCATCGGTCGCTGCACACTGTACAAATAGAAAAGAAAGGTATTATCGACCGTCGTTCTTCACGCCTTAAATCAATAAAGTAATGTAACTCGTACAATAAGCAATCCAAGAGGGGAGGGGGGGGGGGGGCTTTGATACGAATAAAACAAAATAATATGAACGGCTCACGAAGCATGAGAATTATATAAAGGTATACGTTGTGTTGGTTGTAGACGGGTCTTAAAGTAAATAAAATTATATAGCTATGTTCTTCATTTTAGATCTCTTCCTGAGATTTTTGTTTTCGCTTTTACTGCAAACATCGACCTTGCTCGTTTATGATGTAGCAAAGTAACGCGGTTAAATGTTGAGTGTTTGCGTTGCTTTGTATTTTGGTATGTATAGAACATACATATTAGACGGTGAACACATTGTAATGATTATCTAACGGTTAACGGTTTGCTGTTGTCACTTGTAGGTTTCCCCTTTCTTGAGACTTGTTAGCTTAGCGGGATTCTAAAGAAATCTCCCAGTTGCTTTATAGTCGCACCAAACATGCCAAATCGAACGAGGATTAAATAACACGAATAGCCAAGAACCGGTCTGATTGGAGTCAGTTTGCGAGGTGAATGCGGTATTATTTAGGTGATCGTGTAAAATACGCATCTCTTCTGCCTTTTTTTTTCTTCTTCTGCGAATACAGACATTATGAAAAGCTCTCTGAATGTTCACTAGACCGACGGACCACAGACCGACAGCCCATTATAGCAACAACTCAAGAGAATGGCGTGTCGGTCTTGCAGGCCGCCTGTCAACTATTCTGAGGTTTCATGAGAACGATCATGGGTTTTCGGTCTAGGCTAGTATTTGGTTTCCCATCTTCATCTGATACCTTCTACTTTTGCTTCCAATGAATCTTTGAAGAGACTCTAAAAACTATAAAAAGTATTATTGTTACTTGTCTTATTATCATTATGACCATCGTATTCATGAATCCAGGAATTCGAACGGATAGGGTTGTGGACGAAGATTCGTCGTTTCGGAGGAGCGAGTGCGGGAGCAATGTGGGCAGCTCTACTGGCTGTCGGCTACAACTCGAATGAGGTCGAAGAATTCTTAAGCATGAACCTCAAAGACTATTTTCTAGGTAAGTATACCGACTAGCACAGGTGGATTCAGGCGGCAAACACTCTATAGGGGAATAATAATAATAAAGATATATATATATATATATATTGAGCCATAATAAACCGAAGTTTCTCTATGCGCTTTACAAAGTAAAAAACAAGCAAGTACAAGTATATTTAAATAGTTACAAGAACGAAATATAAAAACCTTAAGCTAAAGACATGTAGCTATAAGAGAGTTCGTTGCGTGCAAAGTTAATACAGATAGCAAATACTTATGACAAATCAATTATAGTAACATATTCAATTATAATACATAGATTAAATGTAATGTCAAAAAATACAAACGAAACAGGTAAGTTTTGAGAAGGGTTTTGAAAGTCTGTCGTGTGGGAGCTTGACGGACATGCAGAGGGAGCGAATTCCAGAGAGTTGGAGCAGCCACTTCAAAAGCCCTGTTGCCTTAGAAATGAGTTGAGTGACGAGGACCTTGCAGGAGGTGCTGGGCTGAAGATCTGAGTGTGCGTGCAGGAACATAAGGTGAAAGAGACCCTTTTGGGATTGGGGTACGGATACCCTCCCCCTTCGGAGCCTCAGGCGGGCTGACACTATTACCCCCTACCTTTCAGACAATCCTGGATCCACCCTTACGCTGGAGTATTTGAGGGTCGACAATGCAAATATTTGCGCTACTCAAGTCATGAGTAGTAAAGGTATATGCCTACATTTTTGATTTATTCGTTGATACAAAATATGGAACTTTAATGGAATTGATTTAAAAAAATGGCAAAGGTCTTAAATTGGACATAAATGCGTTCCTCAAATAATAATGCGAACGAGTGGCTGGTGTCGGAGATATCGACAAGGAGTTTTCGTCTTATCACATCCTAAGATATTTGACTGTCTAATAATTATGTGATTTGCTCACGCCGTCCTTTTTTGTCTTATTTATATCGACGTTCTATAGACGCATCCTGTGGAACTTGCAGCCTGTTTCCCAACCTCCGCCGCCATTTTGGATGGCATCCTGCTCGTCGCTTGTTCGAGTGGTTCGGCGACCGTCTAGAAGACATGACTGGTGATGCCGATATCACGTTTAGTCAGCTGTACACGCGAACGGGCAAGGAACTCTGTATTGTGGTCACCAATCTTAGTCAGATGAGCGCGGAGTATTGTCACGCCAAGACCACGCCCAACTTGCCAATCAGGATGGCCGTGCGCATGTCCATCGCCATACCAGGTTAGGTGACGTCATGATAATGATAATAGTGATAATACAAGTAATGTAAATACTGATAATAATATTGGTGTTAATAAGAAGAAGAATGAAGTGACGTTTTATGGGATTTTTGATTGTATGATAATGATGCAAATTACTGTTTCATTCCAGGTTTATTTGGAGCAGTTCGGAGCAAAGGGAGGACAAATTGTGACGTGTACGTCGATGGGGGCGTCCTGTGCAATTATCCGATTCACTGTTTTGATGGTGGGTATGATAGTTTGCTTTTATTGTATTTTATTTTATTTGTGATGATATGACTGATATGAGCGCTGCATGAGTGGCCATTAATACTTCCCTCAAGTGCAATAGGAAAAGATTCAGAATATCTGACTACATTTAATTTATGATGATCTTTTCATCCCTCCAGGATGGTGGTTATCCATGAAGCCAGCAGACAGTATGCTGAGACGTCTCCAGCCCTTAGAAGACATCGGAAGATTGTGGGACAGGAAAGAGAGATTCGGCACCACCAACCCGCATACAGTGGGCTTGTTCTTGGTAGGTACCGTCAATACTAAGAGAGATCGTTGAATTGGTTAAAACAAAGGTTGAATATATAGCATATATTAAAGTACGGTACTGCAAGGTTCTGGAAACATCAAAATGATAAGAAATAGTGTGGCCAAGTCTTGGTAAAGTTAAAGCACTGTACACAGAAATATGTATATGGGACTACTAGAACATGTGGCATAAAGATCCGTCCCGATTTTTATGATGTTACATGCCATATTTAGAATATTAAGGCATTTTAAGAGCCATGCTTTTCAGGGAACACTTTTTATCTGATGTTTTCCACACTTGCATAATGCAATGATAACGTTCACAAATTATTTTTCACCTCTTCCCAGAACTCAACTTTCTCTTTAAACACTAGACTAGTATCTTGGTAATACAAAAAAATTAGGCATTCACCCGCCACATGTCACATTTAGCGTTATATGACGTCACCAACGTCTTTGTTTTGTTGTTAGTTTTGCTGCTGTTTTTGTTATATTGATTTAAAATACTTTGCGAAGACCAATGCTGATTTACAAAGTCCTATAACGATATGAAGTATGAATAGAAAGAATCAGACAAAGTCATTGACTCATTGTATGCGACTTTGTTTACCGTAAATTCTTCTATTTCTCCATGATAAGTTCTATAATCCATTAAGTATTTCTTATTTTAAGCCAGGTATGTTAATATAGTATTAATTAATTCACGGTTTTTCTGCAGTATACAAGTGATGAACAGGACGTGATGGTTGATAAGCTAGCCAAACGAGAAGCCAGCATGCCACCACAGGAACTACCCGCGACAAAGCTAGCAGGGTACGTATTCTTAATGGGAAAGCCCACCCTGATATTAATTTGGTTTTAATATAAAGCCCAGGGCCCCGTCTTACAAAGAGTTGCTTTTGATCCAAATCAATCGCAAGTTTGCAATGTCTTATCTCTTATGTACATAGTTGCGATTGATATCAATCACAAATAAGTTACGATTAATATCAACTCTTTGTAAGACAGGGCCCAGATCAATTACTTGAAGGCGTTGATTTTATCAGTCAGACACAACTTCGGAAAACACTGACGGGCGAATACTCTACTCAGTGAATAGGGCCCCCATCGTTTGATGCGAGGCAGTGTGTATACAAGCCATGTGGAAAATCAACCTGCAGCTATTGATATGTATTTCAAAAAAAAATAACGCTGTCGATATATTCAGTTCAAATGTTATAGAGCTCCCCCGCTAAACGAAATTTAGATTTTACTTTAAAATGAAGATCGCGTATCAATGCAAGTGAAATCAAGATATGACTATCAAATAGATTATATCAAATTAATTTGATTGTTTGATTTTATCAGCCGACGAAATAGGATAAAAAAGAAACGTGAAGAAGAGACGAGGAAACATGCCCTGGTGACCGCTGCTATGTCGGGATTTTTGAAACTACTCAGTGAGATTGACATCAATCAGAACAGTATCATCAGCAGGGATGAACTCAAAGATGCTTTCTCAAAGGTATGGAGAAACCATCTTTCTAACAATCAACATGAAGATTAATATTATTGTTCGCTCTCTGTCTTACTTTCTCTTTCTCTCTCATTCTTCTCTCTCTCCCTCTCCCTCTCCCCTCCCACTATCGCTCTCTGTCCACTCATCTCTTCCTCTCTCTCTCTCTCTCTCCCTCTTTTTCTCCTTTTCTCCCTCTGTCTTTCTCTGTCTCTCTGTGTGTGTCTCGCTCTCCCTCTCTCTCTCCCCTCTTTTAATTATCTCTCTCCCTCTCTCTCTATCTCTCTCTCCGTCCCCTCTTTTAGTTCTCTGTCTCTCCCCTCTCTGTCTCTCTCCCTCTCTCTCTCTCTCTCTCTCTCTCCTCTCTCCTCTATCTCTCTGTACCTCTCTCTCTCCCTGTATCTCTATCTCTATACCTCTCCAACTCATCATCTCCTTTCTTCTCCTACATGTATTTTCCTTTCTCTCTTATTTCTTTCCTTCTCTCTGCCACACATGCGTCCTCATACTACCTCAGTACTTTGTCCGATCTTTGCTAATCTACAAAAGAACCAAGTTATATTGTTGCTTCTAAGGTTCATCTAAAAAAAATAAGTTTAATTCATTTTTTCCCCTATAATATTTTGGATTTTACACATCCAGAAGTCTAGTACGTAAATTAATTCATAATCATTTGCTTAAAACTTCACTCTCGGGATGATAACTTCTCATCTTGTTTTTTGTTTAATAATCTTCTTTTTCAGAACCCACCGTACTTCAATGCTAAACATCGGAAGGATCTGTTCGGTAACGATATGACGGTAGATGAGATCTTCGACAATATGGACCATAATGCTGATGACGAGGTGATTTAAATATTGTTTGACTAAACAATTTCAAAAAAGAAACATATTTTGAAAATTGGGGAATATGGGTTTTGTTTTTAGATAATGTATTCAAATATTCAACTAACGTAAGGTAATTATGTATCAGTAAAATGCTTACGGGTGTTATTAAATTATCATTATCATTATCATAAATTGTATATTTATTATTAGTACCATACATTATATTATCATTGTTAAAACCATCACAAGAAACTTGTTGTTGGTATTTATAGACGGAGTATATATACCCATTCTGTTTTATCATCAATTTTTTCAAGTATTAATATGCATACCTATGGAGACCGATCCTTTGTGGTTTCGGCTCCAGCTCTGTGGAATTCTCTTGACAATCAGAAATACATCTTCCCTTTATGATGTCAAGAGAGCTTTAAAGAGCCTTATATTACAGTAGTGTAACACTTCTTGATTTGATTTGTTGGTGTTCATGTAGTGGTGTTATTTGTCCTCTCATATATATGTTGATGTAGATAGTTGTAAAGCGTATTATTTTAATGTACAGCGCATTGTAAATTAAGTGTTAATTATTATGCGCTAAATAAATCGAAAGTTTTCTGATTATTATTATTATCTAAGATGTGTGTATTCCTACTCTGTCATGTGAGAAAGAGTTGGTTCACTAATTTCAGTCTTTCCACCTCCTAGATAACGTTTGATGAACTACAGGCATTTGCCGAGGAGCGAGGGGTGGGGATCCAAGCAAACTTCCAGGGCTACGGTCGCAAGGAGATCAACGGGTTATCAGACTTCTTAGGGACACTGCAAGAGACATTACTCGTCAATGTGAAGAGGATTTTTGTAACGGTAGGCATGGTAGGGGTAAAACAATGCAAGTGATCGCGTTGCCGTGGTTGGTGGTTGCATGGGTGCGGTGGGTGGTGAGGATGATGATGCTGTTGCTGCTGCTGCTGATGATTATGACGATGATAGCGGTGGGAATGATGATGATGATAATAGTGGTGGTGATGATGATGGTGATAATGATGATGATGGTCATGATGGTGACGAAAGTGGTGGTGATTATGATGATAATGGTGATGATGATGATGATAATGGTAGGGGTGGTGGCAATGGTTACTAGTAGCACCGGTGGTGATGATAATGATGATGATTATGATGATGATGACTATGACGATGATAGCGGTGGGATGATGATGATAGTGGTGGAGTTGATGATGGTGATTATAACGATGATGATGATTATGGTGGTGGCAATACAGTAGTTACTGGTAGCAAAAAACATATCGATAATGGTAGTATGTACCAATGGTAATCAATGGAACAGAAGGAGATCGAGAATGATAAAGCAAATATTAGCGGAAAGATTGTGGTAATGATATGGATTCACTATAGCTACATCATTAACATTAAATTGTGATGATAATACAAATGTTTCGAAGACGATCGAATAATTGTTGCTAAAAAATTAGAAACATATTTCTTCCTTCACTTTCATGTATCCAGGAAGGAGACGTCAATCGAACATTAGGTATCGATACTGTGTATGTCGATACTACAGACTTCGTGCTTGAGGCGGAGGACAAAGAATTTCTTATCCAGGTAAATAATGCTGATGGACCAGGGGGGTGTTTCACAACGAAACTAAGTCGAACTTAACTCTAAGTTAGACTTAACAGGTATGGAGAGCCGTTAGCATCTATGAAAATATTTTGTAAAAAGTTTTTTTTTAAGGGCATAAAATGTCGATTCAAATCATTCACATTTTCTAGCATTAAGGAGATTTCATGTTCTTAATGTGGAATTTAAAAAAAGTCGAAAACACTTGAATTTTCTCTTTTGAATATATGTCATTAAATATTTTTAAGGCTGCAAACGGCTCTCCATAATTTTTGAGTCCAACTAAGAGTTAAGTTCGACCAAGGATCTTTATGAAACACCCCATCGAATAGTAAGGGGGAGGGGGGGGGGGTTGATATCCCACTCATTTACTCTTTCTTTCTATTTCGGCAAATCCCTAGTGCTAATCGGGACTTAGTAGTCGCAAAATTGAATATCCCTTTTTTTGCATCTTGCAAAATTATCTCCTATCACCTTCCTAGAACGAGAACAAGCTTTGCTCAAAATACCTTAATATATACAGGTCCTAAGTTCTGGAATTCTCTCGATTCTGTGATTAAAAGGTCTGTAAGTGTAGATGTATTCAGAAGAAAATTGAAAAGTTATTATTTGAATACATATTGTAATTCCTGATTCTTGACTATTCTTGTCTCCAAACTGTATACTTATGTTCATTACAATGAGTAACTATAAACGGTATGACCATACCAACTATGTTTATAATATACTCATATGGAGAACAAACTATATTGTAATATTGTTTCAATAAGCTACAGATATATTCCCTTCCCTTTTCCTTGTCTGTTGTAGTTAACTGTGAGTATCGGTTCATGTATCCCTGTAATCTCCCTTTCCCTGTTTTAGCGTGTATTTGTATTTTATAAACTTTACTTTAGTTAATTATGTAATGTTTAGTTTAAGGAGCCTATCCACAACAAGCTCTGCTTTTCCATAGGCTCCGCCACTGTATCTCAATATTCTGAATAGTGTGTACCGGTATTGTATGTACATGTATAAAATAATCATTTTAAATATGTTGTTACACTCTTAAAAATGAGATATTGTGGAAACCAATAAACTATCTATCTATCTATCTATCTGCATGTTTGCCTCCCCCCCGGGAGTCACAAGGACACACCAAAAAGGATTTTCCGGCATTATAATTCACAGATAAATTAACATCATGAAACATTTCGCAATTAGTCCCGATTGATAGCTATTGCGTTGTTTGTTACTCCTGTTATATTGATTATCACATAGAATGTCACAATTTGGAAACACATATCAGTTCATTTCATTTCCTTTATTTCCACAATAACAGCAAATGAAATTTACAAAGCTTTCCGTTTTTACAAAGTCATTCTAATCAAAATATTAACAAACGAGAAATAAACATAATACGGTTCGGGCAATGCAGTAGAAGTTAAGACTAAGAAGACAATTGCTTGCTGTATTTTGGAGGTTCCCCGACTTAAAATATCATAGTATCATAAGTAAAACAAATCATTTGAAAAAATTATGAGAAGAAAAACGAAATAGTGCCTATAACGATACAATTATGCTGTAGAAAATAAAACATTTCATTTCTAATGAGGCCATCGATTGAGACTAAAGGTCATTTTCATTCTCAACCGCCGATGTTATGCCTTTATTCAATTTATTTTATTCCTATCATTCTCTGACAGCAAGGAGTACGTGGTGTGCAGGCCTTTCTACGTTACTATGTCAGGCAGAATGACCCACCTCTGAAAGCCAGTCTACGAGGCCCCAATGACACACGGAGTACAGTCATGTTTGATGATCTTCATAGATGATCAGGCCCCAGGAAATGTATAGTGGCCCTGAAGGGACATCGCGAATAGACGAAATCGCGAATTATTCACGACGAAATTGGCGACGAAATTGACGACGTCGTGAATTTTGTCGCGAATATCGTCGTGAATAATTCGCGATTTCGTCTATTCGCGATGTCCCTTCAGGGCCACCATAAATATGTGGCTTCCCTGGTAGAAGAACATCATTCTCGTCCGGGTTTACGCTCGTCAGAACTACTTCTTGTCCAAGTTCCACGTACCCGTACGACTACGGATGTATGGTGATCGTGCCTTCTCTTCAGTTGCTCCACGCCTCTGGAACTCCCTCCCTTCTGTTCTTCGCAACACCAACACACAGGAAAGCTTTAAAGCAAGCATCAAACCCATTTGTTCAAGCAAATAGTCCATAACTATTGGAGGAGCGGGCGCCTTCGAATGTTTGAAATAGATAAATGACGCCAAACAACTGCTTTGGATCATCATCATCATCATCATCACCACCACCATCATCATCATCATCATCACCATCATCATCATCATCATCATCATCATCATCCCTTACATCACTGGTGTAGCCTAGATTCAGTCCGGGAAAAACACACGAAATCCTCATTTAGGGTGTAATTTGGATTCAGAATAAATCCTTGTTTGGGGGGTGTCCGGGAAGCAACTTAGACAAAAAAAAATTCTCGGAATGAATTCTGGATAAATAACATTTTATAAGCAAAGTAAATTTGCCCTTGCATCAAATCATCGTTGCCATATCATGCACTTTTTCGTATCAATGCACATGTAGACCATCAAAGCAAGGAGTTATTTGATTGGATGCATTATTGAGTGTATCTGTTTTTAACATTTATCTTTCACGAAGATTCCAAGGACAATTTATCTGTCTTCAGCATGTATAATGGTATATTATAATTAGAAATGTTGTCCACATCCAGTGGTGAATGTCATGAAATTATTTTGACATCTTTGTATATTAAAACATCTGAATAAAATACATATGTTAACAGATGAATAAAATACATGTATCTACACTCATGTACAATGACCGGGCATGGGGGCTCAGTGGTTAGAGCGCCCGCCTCATGAACGGGAGGTCGTGGGTTCGAACCCCGGCCGAGTCATACCAAAGACTTATAACAATGGGACCTTCTGCCTTCTAGCTAGGCGCTCAGCATATTAGATTGGAAAAAGGTAGTAATAACATATTATGTTATGCAGGGCCCGCTGGAAGAGCAGTTTCATAACTGAAGTAGTGGGTACCCTGGGTAAATAAAACGTTAGTATTATTATTATTATATATTATATATAACTAACACAACTAACACAATCCTGAGTCTCAAACTCATTTTGCCAAATCAAGATACTTTCATATCAATAAAATTGACTATTTCTCGAATCGATTTTGTTAAGAGTGTTTATTTGCATATTCATGTCAACATACAGCATACGAGAGGACACATCACTGGTAATCACGCAACCCCCTTTATCTTTCAAAGACAACAAAGACAAATTACTATGAAATGTTAGTTCGTCATCAAAATACACCGAGTTAAGAAGATTTTACGAGGTGGAGGTATTTTCAAACTCATTGAGGGGGGGGGGGGGCTGCAAAGCCTTTGAAGCCTCCTTTTGGGCCCATTCCACTGATGAAGTTTTGAATGGCAGTCCTCTTCATTAATGGTCTCGCAAAAGTTATTCTACACCCCCTCAAAAAAGGTTCTGAGAGAGAGAGAAAGAGAGAGAGAGAGAGAGAGAGAGAGAGAGAAGGGGAGGGGGATGTTGGGGAGGACCGGGGAGGGGTATGATATATTCGGTAGTAGGGGCATCATTGACACTGATACACATCAATAGTAGTATTATTATTAATTTATCCCGCATACTGTTCCATGAGAGAGAAGGAGAGAGAGAGAAAGGGCACGAGAGAGGGAGAGAGAGAGAGAGAGAGAGAGAGAGAGAAGAGTTAGGAAGGAAGTGGGGAGGGGGAGAGTAGAAGAGTTTTGATTGAGGGGGAGATCATTGACACGCATTGTTATTCTCCAACTTTGATGTTCCTCTCGAGTAGAGCTTCGACGAATTCCTCCTAATCTTGTCACTTGTCCCGAAGACTACACTCAGCGACATATCGGGAGAGTAGCGGGAAGCCCGGGGTTTCCTGCCCAGAGTTTCGGCCATGGTTCGGGTGAAGTGAGGGGCATTCCCGCAGCACAGCCCCATGTATTGTATGCCCAGGTCAATGCACTTTTTGGTGAAGTCCTTGATATCGGATCGGTTGCATTGGTTGCAGTCGATATCGGTTGGGTAGGTTAGTTTTTCTGTCAGACGCACAAGAACAAAAAAAAAACAACATGTAAATGGATGGAAAGAGTATGTTTAGAAGGTTTTACAACAAACGTGTGGCCGAAAGCTTGATATTCCAAGGAACGAATTATGAAGGAAAAAACAAACGAAAAAACAATGTCATGCAACTACACGAATAATAGTTGTCGACAGCTGTATACAAAATTCCAATTACCGACATAACTTTTACTAAGGATGTACACAGGAGCGGTTCGAGAATAATAATACACACACACGCACTTTGGTACGGTTTTAGGGGTGGGGCACATAGGTGTTCTTGCGTATATTTTCTACATACGCCTTGCGATACCCCCTAGAACCGCCACTGGGTGTACCTACTTCCATGATGTAACCCTACCATCATACCCTGTTCCTCAAGCGACGTTCCTGAATTAAATCTCTCATTTACCTGTCTTCGCATCTTTGAGCTGAAACCAGTTTTCGTACATCTCAGTTCGGTACACCACGGGTAATGCAGCGATCGGGATCTAGGGTACGAAAAATAGTAATTGTATTTCAAAATGCCTCTCTTCTGTACTGTTCAGTGGCATAGGCTTAGCTTCCCATCCTCCTCCGCACAAGATTAAACCGCACAGGCAGAACAGGTTTTTTTTTTTTTTTTTGGGGGGGGGGGGGGGGGGCTGTCCCCCTCCACTCCCATATCCCGAGGGCAAATGGGAGGGAAGCTCGCAAGATTCGTCACAGAGGTGCCAATTTGGGTTTGATTGATCACATATTCAACAATAAATAGCTTTTGTATCTTTATTCTGTTTTTTTCAAACTTTCACTGACCTGTTTCTCTCATTTTTCTGCTTCTAGTGAAACCAACTTAATGTCAGGGCGGACTTCCCCTTTAAAGGCATCGTTTAATTTTTTTAAATTTGAGATGCATGACCCTACGTGTAATAAGTGTCTGTAATATTATGGTGTAATATTGAAGCCCTAAAACAATTGCGCTTCAAAATGATCATGAAGTGCCTCAAAATAGTAAAAATCTTTGAGTGACCGGTTTTACCATACTCATTTTTCCCAATAGACTGTAGTGTTATGAAAACCGTTAGGAGTGAAATTGCGATTACCAATCATAAATATCTTGATAAGCAGTCAGGCGATCAGCTTATAAAAGTCATGGGATTCCTGAATGACCTAACGGTTTATAATTATGATTGCAGCATGAGCTTAATCCAGAATTTTGTTTTAGAATCTGAGGCAATATTATCGAGTCACTTTAACTGAAGCCTTACCTTTAACCCAACTTTGGATGCCTTTTCAAGAAGATCGATCATTGTGGCGGGACCATAGGCACAGTTGAAGCCCACCACGGCAGCTCCGGCCGCTTCTAGTTGCCTGAGACCGTCTATCATCTCCACATCGTCTACGAGTTCTACTCGTCCATTCCCCATATACCTTGGTGAAATGGTCACTACCGCTGGGAGGCCTGCAGAGAGAAAACAACATTATGATTTATTGAATGGTTGGTTAGTTGTTTGTTTGATTAATTGATTGATTACTTAGTTGGTTGACTGTTTGATTGATTGATTAATTGGTCGGCTGGTTGATTGATTGATTGGGTTGATTGATTGATAGACTGATGGATTGATTGGTCGGTTGATTGATTGATATCATTGATCGATTCATGAGTTGATTGGTTGGTCGATTGGTTGATTGTTTGATTGACTAAATGCTACCTGTATTCTCCAAAAACAGTGGTATGACTGTCACACTTGCCGGTAGACCTGAAGAGAAATTTGATCTGATTGAATGTACGATTGATTGACTGATTGACTCAATGACCGATTTATTGATTAATGGGATGCTTGGTTGTTTGATTGATAGTATTTACGGCATTTTAAAGTTAAATACAATGTATGAGAGGGAGACGGAGGGAGGATGAAAAAGTAACTTTACAACTACACCAAAATCTTTGCAATTTTCACTGCATTACGTCGCAGTATTAGGGCGGAAATGACATGTAGGCCTAAGACAAATTACCTTTTCCATATTCTTTGATACACTCTAAGGCCATCATGGCTTCACCGAAGATACTAAATGTCTCTGCTATGATGTAGTCCGCTCCCTCCTCTACGGCCCATTCCACTTGCTCCTGCAACATGGTAAAAATTAAATGAACTTTGAATTGAATCCATTCACCACTTTCATAAAACTATGCAAAGTCAAAAAATACAATACAATATTTCTTACAAACATAGATAAGCCTTTGTCCCCTTTGGAGTCCAAGTGTTGGGAGAATTGACCCCTGACCCTATGCAATGCAGCTCTTACTTCGGTGGAAATGGCGTTTGTTGTCAGTTGAGAGCCAAAGTAGGCCCTACAGTTTATTGCTGTTTCGTCTATAAATGGTTTGTATAATACCCAATCGGTCTATTCCCATATGGTCTAACACCAAGCCAGTCTACTATCCACATGGTCTAACAATCATTCCGTTTACTTATCATTTGGTCTATTAACCATTTAGGCTAATAGTAATTTTTCTAATTTCCATTTGGTATAATCTTCAATAAGTCTATTTACCATTTGTTATATTGCTCATTTGGTCTAATTTCTAGTCGGTCTAATGCCCATTTTGTCTACTATCCATATTGTCTAATAATCATTTAATCATAAATAACATTATTCACCAAATGATTATTAGACATTATGGATAGTAGACGGGCTGGGTGTAGACCATATGGGAATAGACTAATTGGGTAGTAGACCAACTGGTTGTAGACCAAACAATTCACCAGCCTACCTAACCTTGAAGGGGAGTCGGGCTAACTCGGACCCGGATACATATCGGCCCGCTGCAAAAACGGTAAGTTTTTGCAGGTTAAGGGTTAGGTTTAGGGTTAGGGTTAGGGTTAGGGTTAGGGTTAGGGTTATGGTTGAGGTAGGGTAAACTGACAAAAACAAGTTAGCCCGGATCCCATTGAAGGATATACGAGTTAACACCTTTCTGGCTCTCACGTTGATACCTTAAACATCACTCTGACAGCCTCCTTGCTGCCCTCATCGTCCGGATCCCAATCTCCTGTGTTGGAGATGTCACCACACATCAGAGTCTCTGTCTCATCGGCCACCTCACGAGCCATCTTCAGCGCTAGACGATTGGTCAACTCGAGCTTGTCTTCTCGATCGACATCAGATAGCTTCTTACGAGAGGCATAATACTGGGCAGATGCGATAAAAGAAAATAGGAGATACAATACCCATAGTGGTACTTTGATGATAAGAATAATCATAATAATAGTAACATAACATTACTGTATAGTGCGATCTAACTCAGAGCGAGTTCTCAAAGCGCTTAAAGGGATAGTTGAGTTTTGTTGCAATGGGTGCTACACAAACTAATTTTGTTGTAAGATAATGAAAAATTGAGTGTCATAGTTGGAACAACATACAATTTTTTGAAGCTGGAGCTGAATTGGTTTGATCGTATTGGCTAAATTTCACACATTTTGGGGTTTAAAAGTACCTCCATAGCAATTTTAAGTTCTAAAAGAGCACTAGATGTGTCATAAATAAGAATAAGAGTAGTAACCATGCACTGTGAAGGACTCAATTATCCGTTTAACAAAAGCAATATCCATATACAGGGAGAAGACAATCAAGATAAAAGACTTTCAAGTACATGTGTAATGTAGTTATACAATCATATCTGAATACACAGCGAATGCATTGAGGATTGCTAACAAACCAAAGGCAGAGCCTGCGCATCTCTTAAAATAATCTAAATTAAGATAGCAGGAGTTATGTTATACCTAAACTAGTGACAATTATGATGGTATTAATGATAATATGAGCACACCCCTTCACCCGCTTCCCCCACTATAGCGACAAGAAGGTATTACCAAAAAAGATAAAACACTGATTTTGGTGTTCAAAATGTTATCTAAAGCTTGATTTTCAGACAGAAAAATGCCAACGTTTGCCCTACCTCGAAAGGGTCCACCTCATATAAAATCCTAGTTACGGCCCTGATCAAACATATTACATAGCTTTGTATACAATATTTACATAGGTGTCTTATTTACATCAGATGATGTGCAAATGATCGTTTGTCATTTAATCCTTTCTTTCTACAAACGCGACCTCAATTTATTTGTCTTCGAGATTCACCAGTAATGATAACATGTACGCATTTAGACGTAGTGAGCTGTCGAAGAATGCCAAAGTTTGGTGTAAGGCGATTACAAAAATATATACATGAAAAACATGAAAATATTGCTAAAATTATTTATTTCTGATTTAAAAAAAAAAAAAAATAATGCCGGCGGACATCTTAAAAAATAACCCGGCTGTCAGGGAAAATAAACCGAGCGGCCATTTTGAGAGGCCATTTCGAAAAGAAAAAAAAGAAAAGAAAAGGGCCTCCTCCTTCCTATTTTTCAAAAAGGCAGAACGCTAAACATGTTTTTTTGTTGTTGGCATAAATCTGAGACCAAGTCATGCTCAGTTTCGGGTAGTTTTTAATGCCATATGACAACAGTCAAAGCTAGAAAATTCAAGACTTCTAAAGAGCCCCATTACTTTTATTGTTATGCTTATATGCTAATATAATGCTTATATGCTAATATAATCGCTTTCATAACTTTCAGGTAAAATGTGTATCCTGGATAATCCTGAAATTTGTTAAAAAGGGTGTTCTTTAAAAAAAAAACAATCTTAAGAACCAGTCTAAACATTTTTTTGTTTGTTTGTGTGAGTTTCTTGTTTCTTGGTTTGATTGTTTGTTTGAGTTGTTTGTTTCTCTGTTTTTTTTTCCTTCTTCTTTTTCTCCTTGTTCTGGTAATTTTATCTTGTTTTATGCTTTGTTTAGTTCAAATGGGCCTCGTTGAATTGTCTAGAATGCTCAATGGAAGCAATAGGGCGCAAGTTATTAGTACCAAGACTACACCAGCCTACCCTGGGAGGTTTGATCAAAATCAAAGCTCCATGGTCTAACTTGGATCTCATTATTTTACCGTTAAAGCCGGGACTACGTCACTCCCTGCGTGCACGAAATCACGGTACATCTGACGAACTAGTTCCGGGTGATCTATGACGACTTCCGGTACAAATGGGCCAGACTTGATGTAGCCCTGTCGCTCAAAGCCCATCACATATCCCTCCGCACAGAGGATGGTTTCTCCATCATTAAGACGTTCAAGTAGTCCTGTTTGGAAAAAACAGACATAGAGAGACAGAGAGAGAAAGAAAGAGAGAGACAGAGAGACAGGGAGACAGAGAGAGAGAGAGAGAAAGAAAGAGAGAGACAGAGAGACAGGGAGACAGGGAGAGAGAGAGAGAAAGAGAGAGAGAGAGAAAGATCCAATAAAAGCAAATCAATTCAGTGAAATATAAAGAATTTACTATTTTTGTGATCGATTCCACAGCATTTCTTTCACAATGCAATCGCATGACTAGAACTCAACTTTATCTATGAATCATTTAGAGGTGATCAGGACTCATTCGTAAGTGTAGAGTCTAATTATTTTCAAGTTGGTTAAAATTCAAAAATTCAAAACTGGTTAAAATTGGAATTTCAATTCAAGGGGTGGAGGGGGGGGGGGGTACCAGGAAACTAGAGCGCATGTTCAATGATGACGAGACTAAAGAAGAGAAAGGGAGAGGGGTAGGGGTGGGGTCAGTGAGAGAGAGAGAGAGAGAGAGAGAGAGAGGAGGAGGGTATATATAAACAGAGGGTAGAGAAAGGGGAGAGAAAGAAGAAAATAAGAGAGAGAGGGGGAGAGGAACGAGAGAGAAAAGGGAGAGAGAGGGAGGGGAGATGAGATAGAGGGAGGGGTGGAGGCACTGTGAGAGACCGATATATATTAGTCATAGTAGAGTAGGAGAAGAAAGGGATCGGAATTCAGTTTCATGCAATACCGTATGATTGAAAATATCGCTATCCAAAACAAAATAAATCGTGGGTTCAAACCAAGGAGTTACTAAAGAGAATTATATACCTCACTTAAGAAATCCAGCCATCTGATAGGTCGAAATTGCAGTCGTGATTTTAGCCATTCCCGTAAATAAACGAAAAATGCCAAACCTATGTAATAGTTCTAGAGTAAATCAGTAAAATCCCGGCAAAATTCCAGTTACCGGAAAAAAGTTCAATCTAGCTGAAATACCCATTGGTTCACGTGTTAAAATCTGGTTAGAGCGATCGCGGGTACAAAACATTGTGTGTGTGCAAATTGGTCGCTTAATATTTAGATCTTTTAATAAGACGACCGAAGGCGTCGATCGTACTACTAAATCCGGCCTAGATTCTACTTATAGTTTACAAACAAGGCAAACATGGCTGAAGAAACTCTTCCTAGATTTCAACTTCTTGATGATGATCAATTGCAAGACTTGATTAATTCTGCTGACAGCAAGAACACCAAAAGGGTACGTGAAATCCTCCATAAAAATATTCGAAGATTATTTAGGTCTAGATCTAGGCTACCTGCAAGTTATCAACACAGACCTCGATAGCGTAAACAAAACTTCCAAATTCGGAGCTGGACAACGTAGATCCAGATAGGGGCCAATGTTAACTATTAGATTCGGACTTCAACGTCATTTCCTCAATTCTAACAATGCCGACAACTCGACATCATTAATTAAGCATGAAAATTTTTCCAATTCGACGAGAGTTTTAAAGTGTTTTCAGCAACGCTTAAACAAAAAGGAAAGGGAGTTGTGACTCACAAACATGGACAAAATCCAAGGTTCGCTTGATTTGGATGATCCTTTAGGTCTTGAGGACGAGGTATTTATTGATGTTATGACACTCAACAGCTTCGAAATTTGTGAGGAATTAGGCCTGGGGGGGGGGGGGGGGGTAATGCTACATAGATAGAGGCTAGATCTAGACTATAATGATGTTTTTATTCTTTTAACAAATACATACATGCCAAGGTACCTTTCTTACCTTTTGCTGGTGCCATTTTCTTGCCTTTTGATATCCCCTTCTCCAGTTTCTTTCGCTTGCCTGTAATGTATTTCAAGGAACAGACGACGTCTTCTGATCGAGTTAGGTTTCTAGTTAAGTTATACTTTAGAAAAATATAACGCCGCTGGATAATTTCCTGATGTCAACTAGCCGGAGTGGTTTTAGTCCAGAATCTGGCCAAATTGATCTCCTCCCGCGCACGCCCGGCGAATTAAATGGACGTACGCCTCGTTGATATCACTATTAGCTTCGGTGGCTTGCAGTTTTTATAAAATATTAGAACAGGCAAGATTCTGGCCTAGTATGGGGTGATAATGATGAGTGACCGAACATTACCTCCCGGTGGGGGGCCGTGCCAACCATCCCCTTCAAGCTGTATGTTTAGATAATAGCCCAGGGTCCAGCTCAGTTTGCATTGCATCATTCCTGTCTGCAAGGACGTATCGAGGATTTCTTATCAACAAGCCGGCGAATAGGTGGGGGGGGGGGGTGTGGTTAACACTAACTCCTTTGGGGGGGGGGCCCAACGGGGGTGGGGAGTGAAGAATCCTTTTTTTTCCTCAACATCCACCCCCCCCCACCCTTGAGCAAAAAACATTATTTACTTATTACTAATTACTGCGATCCCGGGGACAGGGGCGTTAACCCCCCCCCCCCCTCACCGGGATTTTTCTGGGGGAGTGTTCCTCCCTCCCCCGGAAGTCTTAAAAATGCAAAAGATATAAGTTTATTTATATTGTACTTATATATTTTAGCACATAATTAAGTTCTTAGGTGCTTTGAAATGCATTAAGTTTCACCATCCGAAATTGATCTTTTTTCCCTCCTTCGCATACTAGTATTTAAACCTTTAAATATTGTAGAAGATATTACAAAGGTAAAGATTCTCTAAACTTGTGTTTTACAAGTGCCAGACAATGTAAACTACCAATAGGACATATTGTATGCTGAGAAATTAAAGGGGTGGTGAGGGACGCCTTTCCCTGAAAGTATTAGAGGGCCATCTCCCAAAATTAAAAACAGATCGGTCGCATTGCAACTTTACAAAACGATAAGCTTAATTGACCGAGGAAATCGGTAGAATACAATCTTTATACTGCAAAATATGAACTCCTGTTATTCGGGGTGTGATAGGGGGTTACCCCCTGCCGGGGGAAGCAAGGGGGCAGAGCTCTAAAACGCTCTCGAGTTTTTAAAAATTTAGAACCTTTCAGATGTCACAAGCAATAACAATTGTAATTTTCGCCTTAAAATTCACACATCCTCTATCATTTTATTTAGTTAGTCGAGCAAACCATCGGCCGTGTAATCTGTAGGTGTTAAGTTAAAGTTTCATGTTCTTTTTTACTTTCTCTCTCTCCCATTTCCTCTCTCTCTCTTATCTTATTTCCTTTTACCTTCTTTTCTTCCGTTGCTCTCCTTTCCCTTTCCGATCTTGTTAGGTCACCAAAAAATGTTCAAAGTAGAATGAGCGTACAAACTGAGAATGTTAAAGATACTTCCAAACTTTGTTTTGTATACTTTTGTATAATGGTATACAATTCATGGTTTAGCTATGACTAGCAAAGTGAAGTTGTTCACAAGAGAAATATTTTATACCCGTTAGAAAGTAACGAAGAGAAATGAAGACTATTAAAAGTACCCTTCCCTCATACACACACACACACACACACGCACACACACACACACACACACACACACACACGTATAAGGAAAGTTACCCCCCCCCCCTGGAAAAATCCCCCGACAATTACCCCCTGGACAAATACCCCCGGACAATTACCCCCCCCCCCCGGACAAATAACCCCGTAGGACAATTACCCCACACCCCTGAAATTACCCTCTAGGACAATTCCCTCCCCCCCCCCCCCCCCCCCATCCACCAGGTCAACCAAGAACAATTACCCCGGGGGCATTCAGTATCAGCATTTGTATATGACCTGCAGAAAGGACATTTACCACATTCGTTAATGGACTACTTTGATTTTAATAATGAATCACATGTATAGAACAAGAGGGAGAGAACATTTAATGCTACTATTTCCTGTAGTACGACACATGGGACTTTCTCAATTTCTTTAATTGGAGCAAAGCTGTGGAATAATTTGCCCATAAATATAAGATCATCATTTCGTAAAAATTTCTGATTAAACTCTTCAGCAGAGATGAATCATAAGGATCAAATAATATGCTATTAAGTCAAATAAATGTTGCTGTTTAATTTTTTGAGTGTGAATACATAATATGACTTTGCATACAGTTTTAGAAACTTGGAGAACCAATCCAGACTAGCACTCGTGCTAACTTTTGGTTCTCACTTTAACAACATTTTAAGTTTTTAAGTTTAAAATATCCTTTATTTAAATCAGTTAACTCTGTGAATTTCAATTACAGCAACACTTTTCTGTATCTGTAAGGAAGCCAACCAAATCTCTACGTATTATTAAGTTATGGCTAATTCACATGTTTGATATGACATGATATGATGAATGTTGTACATATGGTTCTACTATGGATATTTTCTTTTTCTTTGTAACTCATGTATGGATATGTATACGATATCAACTTTTAATTGTTGTTATTTTGTAACCCACTTGAATACATTTGTAACATTGTTATGTTGTTAATAAATTCAAATTCAAGTCATTATTATTATAGTCATTGTTATAATCGTTATTACATCCATAGTGACACCCAGTCAGCTATGCTGGGCCGATTTAGTTTACAAGGAAGTCTTGGAAACTGAGTTACAATCATTATGAAGATGAGGGTTACGACTTTAAAGGGAGGCTTTACTACTTTAGCCAGAAGGGATAAGACCAAATAGCGAGCCAGCGAGGTCACTGTGACAGGTGGCTATCTCATTAACTCAGCTCTCATTTAACATAAGAAAAAGAGGATCATGGGGGACCAACAGGCACCGATTGCGGAAGTTTTCTATGTAGAGGGAGCAAGTAGCTACAAGTAGGACAGTGTGCCTTTAATATACAGTGCGACCCAGAAAAAACGAAACCGAGATTTATCGTTGTTTTATCATAACTTAATCACAATTACAATCAATGAATGACACATATTTGTAAAGCTGAGATTCTCCTCTTTCATTTGATTGAACTCATATGATGCATATTTCACGCATGAGTGATTAAAAGCAATTTGAAAAAAAGGAAACAAAAAAGTCATTTGGCGGGCGGTATCTGAATTGAAGTCTTTCGTCTATGTCTGATCGTCAACGAAACGGAGTTAAGTCTTTTATCAATTCCGTTTGTTGCTACGGCAGGCAGCCAGTGAAAACGAATTCGTTTAATCAAATTATGGAAATGCAAGCATCACTTTACACAAACAGAACTTTGTTATTCCTTCCTTATTTTTCTGATTGAGGTGTTATATGAAAGAGCAGAAACTGAACTTTCTAGAAATGTTAATTTTTCTTCGAAATTCAGATATCGTCCGCCAAATGACTTTTTGGTTTCCTTCCTTCAAATTGCTTTTAATCACTCATGCGTGAAAATGCATCATATGAGTTGCATCAAATGAAAGAGGAGGATCTAAGCATTACAAATATGTGTCATTTATTAAAATTATGATTGTGATTAAGGTATGATAAAACATCGATAATTCTCGGTTTCGTTTTTTTGTGGGTCGCACTGCATATGATTAGTATAAACCGGCCCCTAAGTCATTATGAAGGATTTTAAATGAGAAGTCTGGGCACAGAAGTGATAAATAATGTAATCATGTTAAGCACATTCACAAGTAAATAGTTACGTATATAAACTACTAAATAAATAAAGGTAAAATAAGGAGGCGCGATAGCTCAGTCGGTAGAGCAGTGGTCTCGTGATCCGGTGACCCGGGATCGAAACCAAGTCGATGCGCTAGTGCCCTTTGGTAAGGCATTAATCCTCATTACCAGATCCCTTGGAGAGGACCTAAAGCCGTCGGCCGTCAGGTTGCTAACTTACAAGAACTTATGCTTTCTTAGCAGTCAGGTAAAATAAACACTTCCACATTCAACATTCAAAGATATATCGAAACAAATATAAATGATGATGATGATATGATATTCATGATGTTTCTATTCATTATTCAACCTTATATTGAGAGAAGAGTCCATAATAAGACAACAACGAATCAAATGAAAGCAACTCGATTCACAAACGAATGGCAATTCATTGTTTTGATGAATATATCATACCCCTGTGCGCAAATCGATTCTGATTCTGCTGGTTTTATCGTTCTACTTCGATGATCAAATGGGATATCATAATAAAAGATAAAAAGGATTCCTTTTAGTGATGTAAACAAATTTAGTTGTGCGTATCTAATGAGTATAACTCGAGGAAATTTGGTTTCGTTCTTTAAGAACTAAAGAGACGATAGCAAAGAATTCCCCCCAATAACATTGCCTAAGGAAATCATGTTCTGATTAGGCTATTTTTTTTTTAATAAGATGAGATCTAGAAAAAAATACCATTAATTGCTAACGAAAGGAAGATGATTAAATTACACTTAAAACAGGAGATGATATATCTCTTGGTTCTATAACTACTAAAAAGGTATATTCAATATTGAGTGCATGGGTTTCTCACAATCGTCAACGATATCATTGTGGTCTAATGTTTTGTCACTACCAGACTATTTCAATTGGAAATTGTTTTTCATAATCAAGAGATAACAGGATTAGCAATTTAATTAAAAATTTCGGAACCATAGTTTATGGTGTTCTTAATGACAGCAATACACTGTAAGCTCGTACGAACATTTTGGAAATCCTTCAAAGGCTTTTATGTCACCTTTGCAAGACAAATATATATATATATAACTGAAGAACTTCCAGTGATAGGCTATAAAGTGGACGATGTAACATTGTAACTTACGATATGTTAAATCTTATTTGCAACATCGCACAGAAGACAGTTTATCGAAATTATACAAAATGTACATTAAAAGGTTTAAAAAAAAACGCAAATTCGTTATGCGTTGATTTTTATATAATGGTGAAATCATATCTACAAAGTGTTAGTAACTATACATTTGGAAAAGAAGGTGAAGTTCAAATTTTGTTATTAATGGTTGCTGTAAAATTATGATTGTTTAAACAAATTGTATATACATAAGTTAGTGCCAATAAATACCTCGAAAGAGGTTGAGAAGGAAAACAAATCTTTGTAATATTCGCACATTTCAATAGGTGATGGCCAAGGCTATTGAATGTGCCTTAGGTTGATTTTCTTCGAAAGCCTTTGCGATCGGATTCACTGTACGTGAGTTAATACGAATCACAGATATGAATAACAAATCTTCCCTCTGTAGCGTGATTACAAATTGCAACATGAC